TTAAAGACTTTGGTATGTCTCGGCCAGGGGACAGAACCCAAAGCCTTCCTCACAGGGGCGAACGCTCAACAAATGGCCAAAAGTGAGGCATTGTCAAGGGAGACATTAGGAAGAAGAAAGTTATTTAGAAAGGAGAGAAGAGATAAGGTCCCAAATTTAGTCGCCTCTTACGATCATGCAATTGGGGGCAGCAGGTACAATTCTTACGCCCTACCTGCAGGGCAGGGGCCTCTTGTTATTATCAATATCAGGATTGAGCATGTGGTGAATGCTCTTGTATTGGGCTACATGTACACCTACAACATGTTTTCAATATAAAAATAACCAACATTATGCATATTCAACATTCCTTTGTCAATATGCAAAATAGCTATTGATTGATAACAATGTAAATCAAACATTTTAATTTTAACGGACCTCGCCTGGACGTTACAAACTTTCCTGGTGAGTTGCCATTTTAAATAGTAGAAATACGATAGCAGTTGAAATTTGCCCAAAAAGCACAAAACTATTGAAATCTTGATTAAGACTATATATATACCATGCCCTAAATCATATATGTAGTAGGCCTGCTTGAGAAGAATGTTTGTGTTGGATTTAGGTAGCGTATGTGGGTGAAATAGCACTTACCTGTAAAGCAATTCGACCTGTTTATGTCATATTCGACAACCTCTAACTGGTTCACATTTTATACGTAATATTGAAACAACAAATGTGAACATGAAGTACAACTTATCATTTATTCGAAACTTTCTGCTCCTGAAAGGTGTTTATAAAAATACATCCGAAAAATGTTTTTGAAATCTGACCGAATTTCCCACAGTGGGGACGAAATGGTACATTTTACTTTTACTGTCTCGGCACAGTAATAGCAATGTCTGTAGGGACAGGAAGGGATGCGTTCTTTGATTTTCAAATTTTGCAACATCTTTGCCACACTGCATGAAGTATTGAAAATGGTTTCCGCCGTCACATTTTATCCCAACAGAGGGCGCGCGTGTACTATAGGTTGTAACTCTCCTGTGTGGAGGAGCGCTCGCTATACATTCCTTGACGATCGTCAAAAAACTAAGAAAACAGAATGCCACAATATTGTTGTGTTCCTTTATGTAGTGGGTCAGGGGGGCATCGATTTCCGAAAAACCAATCGCTTTGTATGAAATGGCGTGTCGCTGTAAAGAGGATGAGGAGAAAGGCAGAAAGTTATGGAAACCCAGTCCCGAAGATGTTGTCTGCAGGTTGCATTTCCGGGACATCGACTATAAAGAGACACTGTTAGGTTAGTATAGAACTGTGTCATGACATTTTCTCCCGTTGGAGTGGAATAGTAGACAACCATGTGTAGGAGTTTTGAGAATAGATTTAAATTACGTGTAAAGAACAGTTAACCAGAATAAATGTTTTTTGCAAACATTCCACATCAGAATTAATCAACTTTCGTTTTAAGTGGTATCGACTGAATGTTTAAATGTCCACCGACATCTGTTGAAAAAATCGTAAATATAAGGTTTTAAAAAACTTGTCTATTTTTTAATCATTTAATTTTTACCAAAATGTTGCACATTATATTTGCCATAATTATTTTCCAGACAGCAAATACAAATTTGACTACAGGGGACATACAATAACTAGTCATAAAAATATGTTGATGTCAAAGATTTGTAAAAATCATGACAACCACTGATCAATCAATCTGTATTTTAAGAAGTTTTTCAAAACAATATATTTTTTCATAATCTTTTTATTAAGTTATATTGCTATAACATAATTTTGAAATAATGCAATAGACTGGTTAATATTAAACTGACTCACTACCAAAGGACCGGTTACCAATAGTCCTTCCTGAAATATACTAGTCTCTGACAAGAGGGCTAGTGTATAAAGTGCCAAACTCTGTATAATTTAAGAAGTGCTGAACAATGACAGTGGCATTTATAAGGAATGGGATGGTAATTATGGCGAATATGGTAATATTGTATGAAAACTTTTTTTTCATTTATTTTGTCTCCTGATACAAACATCTTAGTTATTTTTGTTTCCTTTTGAGAATTAATAAACATGTTGACCTTTTGCTGGATTCATTTAGCATGATTACATGTAACTTTGGCTAAAACATTGTGAAAACCTAAATTTCCATTCCAAAATTTGATAAGAAATGAAAAAAGTAAGATTCTGTATCAATTGTTATTTATTGCACATATTAACTATGAACATTTCACTCATTATATGCAAATTGTCTTAATTAAAAAAAAATGAAAATTTGTCAATTTCATATATTACATGTATATTTACAATAAATATATATGCACATTCAGGACTGTTCAAAAGCTGATAAAATGACAATACAGTATATCACATTAATTTCAGTGCAAAAACAATTAAAAAATTGAAAATACCAGTATACATGTGTTCAAAGGGACACAATATCTAGAAGTCTTGACAGCTGTAAATTTCTAAGTGAGATGTTCAAAGAGTTAAGAAAACTGTATTTGAAGTTGTATTTTTTCGTGTTGCATTGTGGCTTTTCTCAAATTTTTCTTCAGGTGTTGATTGGACGATGTTGAATCATCCCATGCAATTTGACATCTTCACATAGGACAATGGCTGGATGCTGATGCACACGTGATTTCCTGATTGGTTTGATGTAGTTAGTTGTTCAAATATAGAATGGCTTGTCATTGGTTTTACAATTTGATTTTGACATATATACCAAGTAATTTAGTATAGGATTAAAATTAAAATTAAAATCCAAGATTGCCTTTATAATTGTAATTACATGTACTAGGTAACGTGTTGTTCACCATCTTATGATTAAATTACATCCATTTAACATTTATGATTGTAATTTCGATTTAAGATAGCAGAATCTTCAGTATAAAGGATTGCTGATGAAAAAAACACATGTTAGTTTCGATTAGGTATAAATTTACTAACAGTAGAACTTCATTGACATCACAATCTGTTACATGGCAGTTGAGTTCCCAATTATATATTTTGCACCAAATATTGTGCACATTCTCATGTCAAAAAACATGATTTCAGGTGAACGTGGCAGACTTAAAGAAAATGTAGTGCCGTCCATCTTCCAGTGGACACAGACCCCTAGCCCCAGAAGAAAAAGAGAGCCAAAACAACCAGATGATGCTACACAGGGCACCATACTTGAAGCCTACAATGGACAGCTAGGATCTGAGGTCACTGTGTCAACACACCATGAGTCGGCTGAACTGGTACCAGAACCAGAAGATTTGGAACCTCAAGCGGAGGGAACACAGTGTACAATCTTGGGGAGATGTACAATAGACAACTTCAGGGATAACCCCAAAGCTATCAATTATTACACTGGATTCACTGATTTCAACCACTTTATGTTCTTTTTCAACTGTTTAGGGCCAGCAGCGACTGATCTCATTCATCAGTTCACTTCCTTATCACCTCATGACCAATTCTTTTTGACAATGATGAAGCTTAGGCAGGCAAAGGAAGACTTTGAGCTAAGCATGATGTTTGAAATCAGTGAATCCAGTGTATCAAAAATCATTGTTACGTGGATTAACTTTATGTACTTTCAGTTGAAAGAATTATCTATTTGGCCCTCCCGTAGTACTGTTTCTGACCATATGCCGCAAGACTTTGGTAAGAAATTCAAAAACACACGAGTCATTTTAGATGCTACCGAGGTCCCGATTCACAAGCCATCCAATGTCAATGCACAAAGCTGCACCTGGTCCAGTTATAAGCACAAAAATACTGTAAAAACTATGATTGGTTGTACGCCTAGGGGTGCAGTTTCCTATGTAAGTCCAGCTTATGGCGGATCAACAAGTGATCGTCAGATAATGGAAAACTCTGAACTACTGGATCCGAAACGTGACATGTTTGATAAGGGAGATAGTATTATGGCTGATAGAGGTATTATGGTGCAAGATCTATTTGCAACTCAAGATGTTTTTGTAAATACTCCTTCTATGTTACGTGGAAAATCTCAACTTGAACCCCAAGATGTAGTCAAAGATCGCAGAATTGCATCTAAAAGAATACATATTGAGAGAGTAATTGGTCTCGGCAAACGTTACAAAATATTAAGTACTCCTCTTCCAGCCAGTTAACTGAAACTTGGATCAAGAATTATATACATATGCTTTTCTCTCTTAAATTTTAGGCCATGCATTGTTGACAGATTTGCCTAAACTTTTTGCAAAGGTTATCATCAAAATGTATATATACATGCATTATGTCAATATGTGCTGTAAAAAAAAGTGAAGTTTTCAAAAATATTGGTTTTCAGTACATGTACATGTAATACCAAATTCAGAAATTTTGATCCAGGAGATCTAGGTTTTGTTTACATATGGGATGCAATATAAGGCCTATAATACTTTGTGTAAAACAAATGAAGTTTTGGCAACAAGCTTGATTTAGCATATTCTTCATCAAATTCAATCTTTTGTATAAAAATGTCAACAAAAGTGTAAACTACAAAACAACAGTACTTTTTGTTAGAAATCAGCAGCTGGCCTTGTACTTGGTCATAGTATTTTGGTCATAGTATTTGCTATAACAATTAAGGTACATTTTCTTTTTACTATCACTAATCAGAAATGAAAACAATTTTCCAGGAGCAATTTTGCAGTTTCGACCAGCATAGGGGCATTTTATTTCAATTATGGTATCATTATTAATAATTCCATCAGGTGAAGCTCCAAGGTATGGACATTTGGAATTGACAAACAGACCACATCTTTGAACAGGAAGTTGTGTTGTTTCTTGAAACTTCTTCAATGCCTTAGTTTCATATTTCTTCCCATGTTCGATGGATTTGCTATGGAACACTTTCGAAGAATGGATGCTTTCACAAAGCTTGGTCATGTTTCGGCGATTTGTGGCATGAGTGATATCACCAAATCTAGATGCTGTTAGTCTCCATTGTCTCTCCATAAACCATCTTGATGATTTTGCCTGCAATTTTGTGCTTTCCTGAATTTCTGTCGCTGTATCTTCTGTAACCTTTGAGAACAGAAGTTAAAATACATATTAGCTGACTATTAGAATTTTACAGTTTAAAACTAACCTGACATAGTTGTAAGCTTTAGTCCATACTTTATACAGAACTGACATCCTTTGTTTGAAATTTTGTTCTAATATGTTGTTATGGACCTAAAAAGACTCACAAATTATTCACTGCACTACTGTCTGTTAGAAAGCAAAATTGACTTTGCCCCTTGTCAACAGAAAAGTCATGTTACACAGACATGTTTAAATATGTTTCTATTTTACTGCTGTACAGTATCAAATTACAGGAGATAAGTTACTAACCATTACTTTCACCAATGACCTTGACATTTGACCTAATTTATATGATGTGGCTAGTGACCCTTGTTTTTTTTCATAGTGAAAATGCTTTATAACTTTTTTTAGAGTGAAATATTCATGCTCAAAGTCGGAATATTAGAATTAACAATTTTACTATGTAATTATGTTATTTAAAAACAGCATGCACCTGAAGTTCACTACCAAATAAAAAATTACCTGTAAGGCGTTGTCAACAAGATATTCAGTGAAAGGTAGTGGGAAATAGTCATGGTCTAGTGCTGCAGCCTGTAAAACAAACATTTGTTTCATAAAAAAATATTTTCTGAAAAGTGCATTCATCATAGATTTTTGGTGTTACTTTTTAATGAGATTAATTATCGAATACAACCTTAAAGCAGTAGAAAAATCAATAAATTTACACATCGTACAACAGAAAATGCTTAGTGGCTGAATTTGTTCAACAGGGATATTTTTCCTTAAAAGATTAAAAACTAAAGTTAATTTTGTGACCATCTGAAGTACCTGAATATCAGCTGAGGGATGCAGATATCTCATGGCAATATCCTGAGAACTACTGGCACAATAGTTTATCATCATGTTCCTGACAAAGTCTGTGAACCCATGGTTGTTTCTGTATTTATGTGGCCTTGGGTCTTGCAGAATGTCATTAGAAAATTTCCGTTTAGTTGGAATATTTTCTGTTGCTATTGGTTTTCCTAAAGGAAATACATGTAGAGTATTTAGAAATCCTACTTGTGCAAACAGTAAAAGTGATTTGGACTAAAATGATATTATTTATGACTGGTAGGATTCTGTCGGAACATTCTTAAACAATTTGTGTACATTTACAATTTGAATTACATCAAAAGATTATATTTATAATTGAATTATGAACTGATCATTGAGTACAACTTTGATTTTTTTTTCAGCTTCTCTTACATTCACATTACTATGTTTTCTATTTTCATCATATGCTTAAATGAAAATATTGGCATGGTTAAGATCAACTCACCATCATAGAGAAACTTTGGTTTGTGAAAATTTTGTAAATTTTCAGTGCAACTTTTCTGCACCTTCATTGTTCCACTATCAGTAAAATGCTCAATCATCAGCAGGACTGCTGCAACATGCTTACATGTCCCATGAGGTCCTTTGCCAGCAGGGCATTCACAATGTGTATTAACTGGATCTCCACTAATCTTTTCTAGCTTTATTTTGTAGTTGTATGTTACCTGAAATGTAAAATACATGTAATAGGTTACATCTATATATTAAATATGCAAGTATCTGATTTACATGACTGGCAAAACCTGCAAGTAATTTGCTTATATATTCATAGATGACTTATTTGTGATCTCATCGCTAGGGCTGTAACTCCGTCAAAATATATACACCATGTTTACATTCAAAGGACCATACTTATGCGAATTAGGAGTTCATCATAAATAATGCATTTTTTTGCATTTTTTATTATAAAGCCAAAAACCATATTCACCTCAAATCTAGACCAGAGAAAATATTAACCATACCACTAAGTCCCTGCAGGTAGGGCGTAAGAATTGTACCTGCTGCCCCCAATTGCATGATCGTAAGAGGCGACTAAATTTGGGACCTTATCTCTTCTCTCCTTTCTAAATAACTTTCTTCTTCCTAATGTCTCCCTTGACAATGCCTCACTTTTGGCCATTTGTTGAGCGTTCGCCCCTGTGAGGAAGGCTTTGGGTTCTGTCCCCTGGCCGAGACATACCAAAGTCTTTAAAAATGGTAGTTTCTACTCATGCTTAACGCTCAGCAAATTAGGAGTGGGACGACTGGTTCGCCCATTGTCAGTATAATGTGACCGGGTGGGGCGTCCTGCTGGGTGTCTTCGGCAGTATGTCTCAGTGAGGTAGCACTATAAAGTCGGCATCAGTTCCGCGCTATCACAAGGAGACGAACACGAACATATCGCAGCCTCCCAAAATACACACACATACACTACACGCATGCATCTTGCACACAGGGGAGGCCGTCCTTAAATGACCTTAGCTGTTAATAGGACGTTAAACAAAATCAAACAAACAAACCATACCACTAAAATAAATGTTGTTTCCTTCCATCAGAACAGAACAAGCTAATATTCTGTCACTGTCTAGCAAGTCTTTGCCTTTCCTTAGGGCTTTAACATCTGCAGAGGCATTTTCATCTCCTGAAAGCAGCAGTTTTACTTCAATTTTAAGGTGTAAAAAATAATGTTGTAAACATTAATGTTACCAATAAATGGGAAATTCTGATCTTCACTCATTCTGCAAGTAAAATCTGGTAAAAAAACCCAGGCTTCTCCATATGCTTCAATGAAGAGTTCACAATAATATCCTTCATTTAAAATGTTTATTAAATAAAATTGCACAAAATTCTATGCACAAAATTGGCCAGGTAGGCCCGTATGGAGTCAATATGAACATGCATCATCTTTATAAAGGGTACTTTAAAATATGTACCTGCAAGTCTGTACAAAAAGTACTCCTCAATTTGAAAACTTGTCAGCTTTGGGAGTATCACTTTGTGATCCTGGACCAGCTGATGGTACCCCATGGCAGGCCACTGTGCGTCCACTTGGTTGGGAAGCTGTATAGGTTGCGTTTGAAAATTAAAATTTCTGTCATATGACTTTAATCTGAAATTCAAAGGAGGTCCACAAATTTATTCAAGCTAATCATACAGTGAACCCAAGTTCTGACTATGGTAATGAGGCATATATTATGTACAGTTATTTTGATTTGAAAATATTATTCAATAATACATAGTTATATATATATTACAAATTATGTACAAACATATATATATATATAAAGTAAAAAAATATGTTTGTTTCCTGTTACAACCTGCATGTTTAAAAAAAAGTATATACTGGTTGACAGATATGTCTTTAATTTCCCCATACAGTACAGTACGTACGTAGTAGTCTCCGGTCTGTTACCGGTACGCTACATATCGGATACGATGGATGTAGGCGGTTGGGAAACTTATTGATGAAAAATCGTATCTATTTAAAGCAATATACTTATTACCTTTCTACTAGATCCACCTTTCTGCCGCGTGTAACTGCTCCTCGTCTAATAAGCTCTTGCTTTAACTTTCCGACTGACCAGATGAAATATTTGTCCGCCATGTTGGCTTCTGTAGCAACCTATAGTACACGCGCGCCCCCTGGTGAGTAGTGTCGCGGCGGAACCCATTGTCTGATAGGCGACATTCCATAGTTACATCGAAAACGAGGCGCCGCCATATTGCGGGGCAGAATATTAATGAGTAGCACGGTTCAATGAAGTGAAACGTAAACAAGGGGTGTATTCGAAACGCTGTTTATGACATGTTCAGGACGTCCCGGACAGGTGGAACAGCCTACGAATACACTGGAACAGTGTTCCAGACAGGTTCTGGCTGTCCCCGTTGAAGAGGTGGTGTAGCGGGAACAGTGACGTCATCCATCATGGCCGCCAACAGCAACGTGACAGCGACGTGACAGCGACAGGGTCTTCAACTTTCTACAAATGCAACTATTGTGGCATATTTTTTGCCACTCTTGAAGCAGCAAGAGCGCATGATTGCGCAAAAGGTATATTTTATTATTCAGAAGCTTAGTTGTGTACGTAAATTCAAACAATACGGTGAAATTGACAGACTTTTACCCCCAAGGGAGGGGGGTGGACGATCGGATGGTATTCTACCGTATATGAACAGTTTTTTGACAAATTACAAACAACAGCACCTTATATATACATAGCTAACTCGGTGTATGATTAACGAAAACAGCTAGTTTTGGCGCAAAAAAACAAAAACGAAAAACAAAATTGGAGGATATATACAGTACATGTGGTAGGCATGTACAGTGTAACTGTAACTGGCTATATCTTACCATCGTCCCATTTGGGATCATTCCAATTGCGTTTCCAAAAATTATGAAATAATACAATTTTAATTTGTTTCGGAACTCCTCGGGGTTTATCCATCATAATTGCCAACCATTATAAGGGAAATAACTCCTCCGTTCTTACAAGGGGCACAACAAATGCATGGTTTCTTACGCGATTCATTCCGTTGTGAATATATAGCCTACATATTTTAGTGATCAACGCTCTATATACTACTCTTACCATCGTCCCACTAAATTAGCAACAGAAAACTATCATTTATTTATGTTTTCCCAAAAAATATTCCTAGCCCCTTTTTTGATTGTGGCAATCCCCAAAGAAAACCCCTTCATAGTGTAGGAAAGTCGTGAAAAAAATGAAAGTACGCCAAGTACACAACTCGCTATCGGCCCTCTATATCCTACTGTTACTATCGTCCCAGCAGATCAACGCTCTATATACTACTCTTACCATCGTCCCACTAAATTAGCAACAGAAAACTATCATTTATGTTTTCCCAAAAAATATTCCTACCCCCTTTTTTGATTGTGGCAATCCCCAAAGAAAACCCCTTTATAGTTGTTCGTTGATATTATAGTGGGACAATAGTAAGAGTAGTATATAGAGCGCCGATAATTAATTTTGGATGTTGTAGTCGGGGACTGCGTACGCTCTTCTGTAATTCATTCATTTATGTCATTACTTTCCTACGTTACGAATGGGTTTCCTTTGGGGATTTATACCAATCAAAAAAGGGGTTAGGAATATTTTTTGTAACGTAAAGAAATGATAGTTCTCCGTTGATATTTTAGTGGGACGATGGTTATAGTTTCAGAAACATCCATTACAATTTCTAGAATTAAAGTGAAATAAATCGTTTTTAGAGGAAAACAATAGTAACTTTAGGAAATCAATATGCACGAGAAACAAGAAATGAAATCCACTTTTCGTGCACACTACAAATTGCATGCACGACTTCTGCATAATTATTAAAATCACTTTTATGGTTTATGATATTTAATTTTTACGGAATGAAGGTACAATTTATATTGACATTTATCAAGTAGTGTTTGACTCTTTTGGATTATTATCCTTATCATTCATTACAAACCCCTGTGCTTAAACCAATTGCAATCGCGACGTCTGTGGCCACGTGAAATCGATCACATTGTGCGATTGTTTGACGACACACTCAGCGCCATGCGCGGGAACTAGCTGACCTTTAAGATGACGTCAGAAGGTTACAGGAACATACCATGCGTCGTATAGGTAGTGACCCACGTGCAGGGGCAAAATTTATGGAATCATTAACACAAAAATCGTTCCATAAATTAGCAATGTAACTTCAAATTATATATTCCAAAAATAAAGTATAAGGAACACGATTTCACACATTAATTTGTCTACAAAAAAATACTTATTTGTTTTGTTTTGTTGTCAATACCCTTGCATCGACATTCCATTCCATTTCATAGACAGTTATCGGGCGATGTGGACGCATGTGTGGTAGCAAGCAAATTTATACAAAAAACAACCCATAACTGAGAAGGTAAATTTAATTTCATATTATGTGTTTGATATTACTAAATGCATATTCAAGTGCAAAGATTACGTTGTCAGTATAATGTGACCGGGTGGGGCGTCCTGCTGGGTGTCTTCGGCAGTATGTTTCAGTGAGGTTGCACTATAAAGTCGGCATCAGTTCCGCGCTATTACAAGAAGACAAACACGAACATATCGCAGCCTCCCAAAATACACACACATACACTACACGCATGCATCTTGCACACAGGGGAGGCCGTCCTTAAATGACCTTAGCTGTTAATAGGACGTTAAACAAAATCAAACAAACAAACAAATTGTTCCTACTCCAAACGAAACCTTCTAGATATAACGCACTTGCCAACGCTCTATATCCTACTCTTACTATCGTCCCAGCAGATCAACGGTCTATATACTACTCTTACCATCGTCCCACTAAATTAGCAACAGAAAACTATCATTTATTTATGTTTCCCACAAAAATATTCCTAGCCCCTTTTTTGATTGTGGCAATCCCCAAAGAAAACCCCTTCATAGTGTAGGAAAGTCATGACAAAAATGAAAGTCCGCCTGTACATAACTCGCTATCGGCCCTCTATATCCTACTCTTACTATCGTCCCAGCAGATCAACGCTCTATATACT